ATCAGGGGCGAATCTAAAAGTTTGAGTCAAGACGGGCGATCGTTGATCATCTACCGTCGACTTCAATAAAATATTAAAAGCTTGTTTAATACCCTTTTTTTGAAAAAAAAAATACATTTTGGAATAGTGGTTTGATGAAGAATGTGTGGCTAAAAAAAGTTTTGAATTGCGTGTAACATTATTTTATTGAAGAATGTGTAGTTGAAAAGAAGAGAGAAAAAATGCATTAAAAAAAAGGAATCAAACAAGGCCTAAAGTTTAAATATTAACAATTATTTTGTTCAAATTGAACATATATAAATCTATTATACGAATAAAGCAGACTCATCAAATGACATTATTGTCAAGTTTTGTATAATTTATAGAAAGAGCACGGATTCGAATCTTTACAATTAAACTTGTATTAAAACTGATAAAACCTAACAAATATTTTTTGTTATGCCAAAACGGTTCAGATTACAATGCCTTTAACAAAAGGTCACAAGTTCGAATCCTGTTAGGTCTCCCTCCACATTGAATTTTGGCAAAAATTGTAGAATTAAAATATTACGCAATGAATTTGTTGGTAAAGAGTTTGAACCTAGGACCTACACTTTGTAAATTCAAGCTCTAACCAAGTGAGCCACTAAATATGTGTGAATAAATTGAATAACCAATAATATAAACTAATCTTTATTCTATTGCCATCCAAAATAAAGGGCCCCCGACGAATCCAGCAAGGGCAGCCATGAGTTGTCATGTGCTGTTTTCTATTGTGAGTTGATTAGAGTATATCTCCAAGTCACCCAAATGGATTCAAGTCTCACCCTATCCATCCTCTTTGAGTAGAGCTTTGATTTCAAGCCCCCGTCTGGACCAGAGGTGTACGTCATGCTAAATATGCCTTGAATGATCCACATTTTAGGATCAAAGTCGATGAATACATTGAACTTTAATAGGAGTTGAGAAAATATGAATTAGACAATGATCCTCTTTAAACAAAGGAGAATTACAAAATTTATGGGGGGTTTAATCCCTATAAATCAGCAACTAATCCCAGAGAATAAGGGATTTGAATTTAATATAAATACAACCTGATTCTACTCCTAAAACACCTCAATCAAATCAGTACATAATTTATAAACAGCTAATATACAATATATTTCAACACCCCCATCAAGCTGGTAAATAAATGTTAATCATTCATAGCTTGATTGTGAAATCTTCAAAACTTAGCCTTGGTAATCCTTTAGTAAGGATATCAGCAACTTGTTGAGATGTCGAGACATGGATCATGCAAATGACTCCTCCTTCAATCTTCTTCTTTATGAAGTGTTTATCAACTTCGACAT